TTGTTTACCAATGTAATAAACATAATAAGAGTCAGATGAAATATAATGACCTAAAAGACCAATTTTGAAAAGTTGAATGTAAAACATCTACATTGTATCTGCTGTAAGTGCAAGTGACCCCTAGTGGTGAATTCATGTAGCTACAATTTTAAATGTGTATGCGTAAAAACCTGTGATAATAAAGAGACTGTAACTCAAAACAAATCACATTAAAGCACAGTAATTTTTTAAAACGTAATAAAAATGAATCGAATTTTTTTCTACCAATCTTAAAAAAATAACCACCTAGAGCAGATTTACCTGAAATGTAAGGCACTTTAAGACCTTTATTTCTTATACTTTAATTTTAGACTTTCTAAGGACCTGTGGGAACCCTTAGAAACAGCTTTTTTTTTTTTTTTTTTTAAATGCAATTTAACTTCATAACTAGAACAAATGTGGTGTTTAAAGTGTGGCTCAGCACAGATACGGGTTGAAGACCGGATGTTTTACATGACACTGTACCACACAGTTTGCTGGTGCCTCCTACTCGGAACTTGGCGATGGCCTGAGGCCCATCGTGGATGCTGATGCCTTTAGCTCGGTTTCGGCTGGACCGTATCCTCGGTGGTGCGCTGTCCGAGTCCTCGGAGGAGCTCAGATCTTCAAAGTGTCCTGACAAATCAGAACACACGTACCAACCCCCCCCCCACCCAAAAAAAAAATCCCCAAAAAACATTAGAAATTAAAAGACAATGAAAGACGTAGTAAAGACAGAAATTTTAGATTTAAACAAGTACCTGGTTTCATTCTTGGAGAACGTGAGTCAATGAGGCTGACAATTTTGGTATAGCCGTACATCATAGCCAGAGCACGCGCTGTCTCACCTTTGGCGTTGCGTTCATCCACTTTAACTTTCTGAAAATTCAAAGGATTACCAAATTGTGAGTGTGCGAGTCATGTCAGTTACATTTTCCAGTGATGTGGCTCCATCGTTTTAGATGTTGAAGAGGGACAGGAGATGTAGATGTGGCAAAAAAAAAAAAAAAGGAGAATGACATGGTCTGGCTCATAACCACTTGCACTCACACACGAGTATGTTCCAGCACAGTAACCTACTCACATGATCAAGTAAGTACTGAACAATGATTTCATGCCCAGAAGCAGCAGCCTCCATCAGTGGCGTGAAGCCAGAACCTGGCTCCCTGTGTATGAGGGAAGAGTCATGAAAATCTCAAAAGTGTGAATAGATCGTTATTTTTTTTTTTGATGGTCTTTTTAGAGCAAATAAAGACACTCACTTGACATTGGCGTCAGCATTGTTATCCAGCAGGAACTTGACCATCTGTTGGTGGCCTGTGCTTGTGCAGTGGAACAGAGCGGTCCAGCCTCCAGAGTCCTTCAACTCCAAATCGGCCCCTTGCTTTTTGGGTTTTAAAATGGAAAAAAAAGAAGAAGAAAAAAAAAATGCTGAATGTTCACAATAAAATTTAAAGCTCAAAAAGAGTGCTGAATCTAAACCCAAGGCCAGATTTACTAAACCGGGCAAAATTACACACGAGCAGTATTGATGATAGGTGTGGTTCGTTTTAGAGCCGATTTTTAAAACACGTCTTCAAAACACAGGCAGTTATTTTCAATATCATGCAGAAAAAACATTGACCTTGCTACCCCTCAGCCTCCTGCTTCAAGTGACATCCTTGAGTTATTGCATTCACAAGAAAATTCGACCTCTAACCCTTGACCTTGAGGTTCAGGTCACTGAGATTCAAACTCATCCAAGACAACGCCCTGTCATCCTTTTATGGCTGAGGGGTAAAAATAAAGAGCTTTTACACACTGGAAGTGTAAAATTAGTCCTTTAAAAATATTTTCATCTTTTCGTAATGCAGTCGTTCACACAGACTGTAGTTTCACTGGGCAAATTTGCAAATTAACACATCTGACCAATCAGACCACCTCACTTGGCAACATTCGGAATTTGAATTCTTAATTTCATGTCATTTTTTTGCAACGTGCTTGATTTGTAGAGGTCTTAAGCCTTTCCCCCCACCTCCTGAAATAAATATCAGCATAATTAGGAGTAAATTGCATGTCACAAATGTTATCAGATCAGTTTGAACACCTGATTTTATATTTTGCCCGTGACAAAGGATCTTCCAGAAATACATATGGAACAGGATCAGTCACAAAAATCTTATCCCTGTGCTCTCTTTGTAAATTAAAAGACTGATTTATCCATCCATTCGCTTCCGCTTATCCTTTTCAGGGTCGCGGGGGGTGCTGGAGCCTATCCCAGCTGTCATAGGGCGAAAGGCGGGGTACACCCTGGACAGGTCGCCAGTCTGTCGCAGGGCTAACACACAGGGACAGACAACCATTCACACTCACATTCACTCGCACATTCACACCTAGTGACAATTTGGATTAATCAATTAACCTATCCCCACAAGCTGCATGTCTTTGGACGGTGGGAGGAAGCCGGAGTACCCGGAGAGAACCCACGCAAACACGGGGAGAACATGCAAACTCCACACAGAAAGACCCCGGCCTGATGGAGGAATTGAACTCAGGACCTTCTTGCTGTGCGGCAACAGTGCTAACCACCGTGCCACCCACCGTGATTTAGACCAAGTAAATCTGGCCCTATATATAAATTACAATAGCCTGTTTTAGGGGCACCAAGCTTTAAAAATCAGAGGTCCTTTGATATTACAAAATGCAGGCACTTTAACAAGAACCAAGAAAGGTAGACTAAGATGCTCAGTCAGTCCCCATATAATATAATATAATATAATATAATATAATATAATATAATATAATATAATATAATATAATATAATATAAAGATCCAAATGCACTGGAAATCCACAGTGGCAAAAAGAAGCTGCTGTATGTTAGTTTAACCTCTAAGACAAAGGTTACACGTGGGTAGGCTGTGAGAACACATAACCCCCTGTGGCCTGACATACCCTTCAGAGAAGTGATGCTCACAGACTAAAAGACCGCATGCAAGTGTGCCTTGTGTATTATTTGCCGTTTTAACTTGTCATTATAACTGCTGGGGTTTATTTTGCATCGTTTTTGGATGGATCTACCCTTAAGTTACAGTCCATCTGCTTCTCATCTAATTCTTGGAGCTTATTTTAACTTATTTGCTTTCTGTCTCTTTTCAAACTCTTTTTGTCATTCTGATGTTTCATCATCACAAATCTCTGTGCCATTGTTTTGTCTCCTTACCACCCCCCCACCCCCCACTCAGGGTGATTCTGTACCTGAAGCAGAAAGTATGCGATACTTTCATTCCCACAGCTTGCGGCCAACATGAGGGGTGTGAGTCCTTTGGCGGTGGTGGAATTTACATTCACACGGGCCTCCAGCAGCAAATTTGCAATGTTGTCGTGACCAATGTAGGACGCATACATAAGTGGGGTCCATCCTCCAATGTTCTTGCCATCCAGGTCCACTTCACGCCTGAAAGCACACACAGTTATGTGAATAAGCTGTGGAATATATTAGCCCGTGTGGAAATATTGGTATTAAGAGGCCCTCACTTTTTAATGCACTCAGCCACCACGTCGTACTGGCCGATGGAGCAGGCGGTGTGAAGGTCCAGAGGGACATCCAGCTCCTCAGCTCGCAGCAGGGAGTCACCCAGCCACAGGGAGAGGCTGGCACCCAGCTGTTCTGACTCACTGGCGTCATCGCTTAACTCGGACATCTTCACTCTTTTCTCCTGGGAAACAGAGACACCATAAACTGCTCTAAACAAACCGCAACGCCCTGGTTTCACACTTTAAAACCAGGGGCTTACGAGCCTGCAAGCAGCCCTAAATGCTGTAGCTTCAGATGATGGAAAACATAAACAATGCTGACTTATACAAGCTCACGAATAGCGGCTACTTTAAAGCTAACGGTAATTTCACAGGGCTCACTCCTCTGGCTAATTTAGCTTAGCGAGGTGAGCGTCTAAACTTTTGGTCTCAATAATAAAACCAACACAGTGAGCTAAACGAATTAAATGCACAGAAGACAACAGAAGCAAAAGAGTATTTCAGAGTGCAGAAAAACATAACGAGTTCAAACTTACAGTCAGCAGGTAGTTTGTTCTCTCAGCAGCCGAAACTTTTCTAAATGTGTGTCACACTCTAATGTGTCCGCGCTGAGCCTTGCACCACCCTATCCTGTCTGAGAGACACTTTAAAGGGAAAATATGAGGAATCACGCTTCCTTAAACGGGAAATAAACACAGGAATGTATGTTCTTTACACAAACTCTTGATTCATGTTTGCTCTCAAGGTCAACTTCTCTGTTATACACACACAGGCTCAATTTAAAAGTCTATGAACCATTTACAACACATCCAGTGTTATTGTCTGTTTTATTTGTGTGTACATTTTCATTCATCGTAAAAAAAATTTTTTAATTGTATTGTATTTTAGAGACAGTTCAACTGTGTTTGTGAGTGTAGCTTTGTAAAAACGTCACAAAAAGGGACAATTTAAGAATCAACCTTAACTCAGTCATTAACAATGACATTTTAATATTTGTATAAAGTGAAGATTGAACATAAAGTGAGATTAGTGACTAAACTTTCAAAATATCTATGATTAAATCAGAGCTAACTCAACTAGTTTCCATTTTAATAAAAAGCGGTACATACAGTCACATGAAAAGGAAGGTTTTCAGTTTGCTGTCGCAATGATGCTATAATCTTCCCCAGGAGAGGACATTAATCCCAAGAAACAATTAATGCTCAAGTTGTTGCTCCTAAAAGTGGTTCTGCAAGTTACTGAATCATGAGGTGCATTTTGTTTTTCACATGAATGTATAAAGCCTTTGTGGAATATATGTTAGATATATGTTAGCCTTAGTGAAGAAAAAAAAAAACATCTATTTATCGATTTGGATTATTAACTGTAAACTGTACAATTTTACTTAGAAATGTTTATTTCATTTTATCATTGCATTTAATGAAGCCACTACAAGCAAAAATACCATTTATTTTTTATTTAGCAATATAGCAATATAAAACAAAAAACCTCAAATGCTTTGAACCATTTTTTCTGAATTAACATGATTATTATCTTAGAAGTCCAACAAAAACATATTTGTCTGTTTTTCTAAATATACAAGATATTTTGGCACCTCAGGTGTAATCGACAGCAATCCAGTATTTATGGTAACATGGTTCGAGGCGCCATGCTGTCAGCCTGAATGGACTTGAATATGTTTCTCTTGAGATTTGAGCAATCACATTAATTCAGTGAATGCATCACGCTTTGTAAAAATGTATTAGTTAAAGGTTTTGTCTGTAAACACAGAGATTTTGACGTCTTCTCTCCTCATATCTTCAGCGTTCACCAGAAGGTTGTCCACAGATCTCTGACGGTGCCGTTCTGCCAGCCTACGTAGCACTTTATCTCCAGCATGCTGCATTGTGAAGGATTTGGCATCAGGACAGACAAGTCAGAGAAAATTGAAGTGAAACTCCTCCTTCGATGGGATAAGAACAAAAACCGGCGTCGCCTCTTGAGTCTGCGGCGTCAGCTCTGCACAGTGAGCTTCAGTGCGCCGCAGCTTCTCCTCAGCGAGTGATGTCTGAGTTTTGTCTTCAGCTCTCCGGTGGAAAACAGACTTCTTTGGGGACTCTGACACAAGTTTGACCTGGGCTGATGCGATTTCTGTCGGGGCACGGAGAAACCCGTTAGCCGGTGGCAGTTTTAACCATTTTAATGAATCCGCTGGTACAAAATTCACTCACCGCTCTGAATGAGTTTGAATTGCTTGGTCTTCTCCTCTTCCATCTTCTTTCTGTAATCTCCAGTTACAGCTCTCATCACCTGCCTCTTCTTGGGGAGAGGAGCTTTGGAGCTGCGCAGAGTCTTTAGGGCACGCGAGGCCTCGTCCTCTGAAGGGAGAACATATTCAATAGGTGACACCATGCATAGAAGTTTACTTTTTTGTATGACCTTGTTTAGATCATAGATTAAACATTAAAGAATCCTGAATATCAGTTTAATCTAGGCTACGTTCACACTTGGATTCACTGTATGTCCCTTCCAACCACATCATAGTACTACTGAGGTACAAATCTCACTAACTCTGCTTCGGTGTACCCTTCTGACACTTCAGGCCCAGCTCCAGCTGCTCGATGCACCAGTCCAGCTCCCTTTTCAGCTGCTCTTCTTGACCCTAAAACACATTCAGACATAAAATCAACCAATCAAACTGCTCACCTCAAACACACTGTAATTACTTTAAAGCACTGCACACTGACCAGCTCCTCTGCAGCACCTTCACTCTCCTCAGCTGGCTTCTGCAGTGGCTCAATACTCGAGGAGTTTTTCTTCCCTGACTTCTTTTTCTTCTTCTTTGTTTTTGATTGCTCAGATTGTTCAGGTGGAGACTCAACCTCCTGCGAAAGGGGAGGCTTCTCCTCTGGGACGCACTGTCGGTCACCTTGAGAAGTATTTGGAGTGTCTGTTGTGTCCATGTCTTCTGCAGGAGGGATTTGAAAGTTGAAGGCAAAAGCAGAGCCCTGTTCAGTGAAGGAAATCTGGCTTGTTGGCTCAGTCCTGTCCGATGCAGGTGCTTTCTCTGAAGCTGCTGGAGAACTGTCAGGGAAGAAGTTAAACCTGAAGACGTTATTGCTGCGAGACCAGAGGGGCTCCTCGGCTGCAGCAGGTGTGGAGCTGTTCGATTCAGCTTTGATATCTGTTGAATGAAAACAAAGGACACAAAAACATTAGTTTATCTCACTTTTGAGAGCAACACTTTAACTGTGAGAAATGATAACACCGACATAAAACCCTCATGTGCGTTTCAGTTGCTTTTAAGAGTTCACTTAAAAGATTTAAAACCCACGTTCAGTCCAGTAATAACAGGTCGAACACATGCATGTGTGTTATATCGTTATAATATACCGAAGTACAACAGCCTCTGGTCGGCCATGCTGAGTTTTCAGAGCTGTAGTTTTTAGGTCGAAACGCGATTTTCCGTTTTTTTTTTAACTCGATGCAAACATATTCAGTGGACCCCGCATACGTTTGTAAACATTTTTTAAATTTCTTTAGCTCTTCGGTCTCTTTAAAAACATGTCCAGTCCCCAAACCAGACACTTACCACCGGTGTTACTCGAGAAGAGGTCCGTGTACTTACACTTCCTCAACGCCCGCTTCGTTCCGCGCATGTTCTGTGCTCTCGCGCTTATTTGTCTATTTTATTTTATTTTATTTTATTTTATTTTATTTTATTTTATTTTATTTTATTTTATTTTATTTAACATTTTCATGGAAAAATCCTTAAAATAAGACCACTGTCTATTTATGTAAGCTTTTAAAACCACTTTTACCTGAGATAACAAAAAGGCTTATTTTATATATATATAATTAAATAAGTAAATAAATAGTGTACAATCATATCACTGTGCTGATAGGGCTTTATTCGAGTGCGTCATTATTAGATTATTTCAAATACAAATAACCGAGCCTTTTTCACTTATGATGGTGATGAGGATAACTTGGTCCGCTCCCGCTTCTCCGTTTTTTTTCACAGCAGGCACAAAGAGTTGGAGGAAATGGTCTGTTGGACGAGTTTCTGTCAGCTCCAGAATTATGTATCACACTAAAGCTTCCCATTTATATATAAAGAGGTTTATGTATGGAGCGTGTATGTCGATTTGTGAGGTACACATGTGCTTTTTCAGCACGTCTTCTGTGTACTTCATTTGCCTTTTCACATAGTGCAGGCTATAACAAAAGTATGGCAGCATTGTTCCCGCTTGTCTTAATTAGTTAAAAGACGGGGGCGGTCAGTGACCATCATATTTCCAGAAAGGAATTCCCAGGTTCTATGATTACACAGACAAAATTATATGTATAACTGTGTGGAGTAAGAGAGAAAAGCTGTGGGTGAATAATTAAAATCAACCTAACGACATGCTTCTTTTTAAAATAAGGTACATCTGACGATCCGCTCTAACTTCACACGCAGAGGTAGACAGCCTCCTTTTTCCTGAACTAATCATATTCCGTTAGGGATTTCCGTTTGGACCAATTGGATACGTTCAGGGGAGGGCTTTGAGCGCTGCTCCGCTTAATCTATAAATACCACCTCCTCAGCCTTCGGGGCAACATAGAGAAGTGACTAACAAGGAGGAGGCATTAAATTTCCCTGAACAACGAAAGTAATCCGAGGTATGGCTGTTATGTTTGTTTATTGGTTTTATTTAAAATCATCAGTATGTGAATTACATATATTATCTATTTGAATTTTGGTGTTGATGAGAAGCTTTGAAAAACGGTGGGACTATCGTTAATCGAAAAACTGACAACAAAACGGCGCGCTTTGTAGCTAAGAGCTAGCTGGTGGCTTAAATTTAGCCGGTTTGACTGCTCTTAAGGTATGACTACATAATTAGAAACTAATCTTAATGTTCACTTATACGACTGAGTGCCAAGTTGTTTTTGGTGACATTAAATGGTTAATTGTATTGTAAATGTTCGCGGTAACTAGCTGGCGCCATTTTGCAACCGTCCATGCTAGCTTTAAAAATGCTCGACAGGCAAGCAAAGAAACGTGTGTGTCTCCTTTAGCTTAATGGTGGCGGTGCTTAGAGGTTTGTGTACGATATTTGAATAAAACCATAAAAGTGGTAACTGTAACTTGTCGTCACTGATAATGGTAACACCACCGATGAATGAGGCGTTGGCACCCTTTATGGTAGTTTATTTTCACTGTAAACAGAAGTAAAAGGTAGGACGGTTGTTTCGCCACCTTTTTTTTTTTCTTTTTTAAAACGACGTGAGTCATGTGTCATAGGTAGAGCCGCATAAAGGGAACAGACTCTCGTTCGGTGATTTATAACGTAAATAACGGGTTTTTGTTAAGTTTTTTTAATTCACTTTGTTTAAATATCCACGTTTATTTGTTTTTCAGACTTGCAGGTGAGAAATGGCTCGTACAAAGCAGACTGCTCGTAAATCCACAGGAGGAAAGGCTCCTAGGAAGCAGCTGGCCACTAAAGCAGCCAGGAAAAGCGCGCCATCTACTGGTGGAGTGAAGAAACCCCACAGATACAGGTACAACAATCATACCTCTGTATTGCTGTTATAAGCATAAGTGGTTACACTGGCTGTGGAAACTAACTTTACTTTTGTTTTCTAAAACTGTGTAGTTGCTACAATGTTTTTGTTTCTGGGCACTAATTCAGAATATGGCTTGTTTCATAGGCCCGGTACTGTTGCTCTGCGTGAGATCCGTCGGTACCAGAAGTCCACTGAGCTGCTCATCAGGAAGCTGCCTTTCCAGCGTCTGGTCAGGGAAATCGCTCAAGACTTCAAGACGGATCTTCGTTTCCAGAGTGCAGCCATTGGTGCTCTCCAGGTCAGAAAATGCATCTGTTTTAAAATATGAACAAGTTCAAGTTCTAATTTGTTCTAGTATTTAATGTTTTCTTTTCTTTCTTATAGGAAGCCAGCGAGGCCTACTTGGTCGGCCTGTTTGAGGACACCAACCTGTGTGCCATTCACGCAAAGAGGGTCACCATCATGCCCAAGGACATTCAGCTGGCCAGGCGAATTAGAGGGGAGAGAGCATAAATGCTTTTGGATTTTTATCTTTTTATTGGGTTGGGGGTGGGTGGGGGACTGACTGGGGTTTGTTTTGTAAATCTTGAACTATTTACCAGCATGTGTGCCACCTTAAGTGATTTGTAGTTTGAGGCATGTTTTTTGTATTTCCATTTCACACACTCTTCCTTCAGCTGTCCTGTTTGCTGTAGAGTAGTGCTTGATATCTGTAACTCCTAAAGCAGAATATCTCACTTCCTTCCTCAGGTCTGCAAATGTATTTTAGGGTCTGTATCTTTTTAATCCTGTGTGTGCATGTCATAGGATTTCTCATTGTGCTGTAAATAAACTTTCCGCTACCTCACCCTGACTCGAGTTTACTGCAGACAACCTTGGGTACAAGTACAAATTTAAGAGACCCATTGGCTCAATGCCAGGGCTTCTTTGCACTATAACTTCGATCTAATAAGTTGGATGTTCATCAAGTGATCATGTGCACTCTGAAACAGTGATTCAGAACAGACTGGCAAATGCCTGTTGTTCAAGTTTATTGACATTGTAAGCCATGACTGGCTAAAAGGAGTATTTCCCAATTAATGTTAGCTCTTAAACTTAAGACGTACAGCATCATGTAATAACCTGCATCACAAGTAAATAAAGCCAAATGTGAACAGCATTTTGAAACTGGATACAGTCTGCAAATGTGAAATAGAAAAGCCTGCAACAGCTGTAGAGTAAACCAGACCCTGATGAAAACTGAGTTAAACTAGACTCCAGGATGAATGAGTTTAACTGAGGCCTCTAAGTCCAGGTTTGAACTAATAATCTGTTACTGGAATATTTATGACATTCATGTATCAATGGACGGCCTTATTTCCACACAAAGCATTGACTTTGTGTTCCAGGTCCACAGAGTACAATTCACAATAAATACAACCTGATACAACATATGTCCACATATTCCAATAAGCGCCTTTATTTTTTAGTTGTATCCTCTTCATTTGAAAGCACGCTGGGTACATGCTCATGCAGCTGCTTCTCCAAAGCTGCGTCAATGTCCGTCTCATCCCTGAAAGCGCACCACAACAGGAAGGCGGTGGCAAGCAGGCTGATGGGCACAACTTTCCACATAGGACGCTCGTACTGGCTCCCCATTGAGCGGTCGACTCTCCAGGTCCTGTGGCTGGCTTTGCTGGTCGAGAACTTAATGGGCTCGCTCTTCACCTCCTCATCATCAGCAGATTGTTTGGACTTGCACGACAGCTGAGAGCTCAGAGCTAGAGACCGCACACTGTGGAGTCTTCCAGCAAGAAAAACAGAGAAGATAAGAAATTAGTTTAGGTTGAAAGACTTAGTGGTTTGAAAGTACACTTGGTGCACTTAAACGCTACTTCACCTTAGATAGTATACTACAATATTTACTTGGATATTAATACTTGTGGACTTATGCTTAAGATTAGAAGTGAAATATATTTATGAAACTGAAAACACTTTTTTTAAAACTGCTGTTTTGTTTTTAAGAAGCTGAAACATCCACAGCTGGAGATTATGGTCCTTAATGGGCACTAAAAATATTAATCCGATCATCATTATCATTTTCATTTATACACTGGATTTATGATACATTTCCAGAGGTCAAATATCCATAGACGCACATAATATGCAATAGATGTTTTATAGAAACTGATGTTCAAGATCAAGATACAGATGATCATAGCTTCAGGAGGTAGATAGCTCCTCCTTACATAATAAATAAATAAAGCAGTAGAAAAAAACATTTCTGAATTATTCCAATGCAAAAAATGAGTTTATGTATAAAACGTTTTACCTTTGAATTAGCCTTTAAAAAACTTGAGGAGTGTGTCCATCTGTAAATTGTTGCTCAAAACACAGAGACAATTGCTGAAGCTGCTCTATTGAAAATGATAAATCTAACCTCTGACACAACGGCAACACACGGACGGTGACTGTACTTTAGTTAGTCATACGTCCTCATGAAAGGAAAACTCCTGCTATCCATCCAAAGCCTAGTAACTAGATTAACGTCAAAGGACCAAGGTGTGTCTTCTAGGAAAAATTAAGAAAAGCTGACCAACAATTAAAGATACTACACTGTCATTGAACCACCATTACACATTGAATACATGCTTTCCATGAGCCGGGGAAACACATACTGACACTCACCTCACGGTCGCTGCACCGCTATGAATAAATGTTCCTCGACTCAAAGCCACTCGTGTCAGACGGGCAAAGACTGCTGCTATAGACATGATGGACAACCGGTCATCTTACTCAACACTACGAAACTGAAGGTTTGCCCAGCAAAACCTTTTCAGTCAGGTCATGTAACACACCATTGTGCAACTTTCAATTCTCTCCGGCGAGAAACAGCGAGAGACGCTGGTTATGACCGGCTGTCTCTAACCCATAGAATAATTTATTATTCTATTATTATTATTAGCAGTAGTATGACTATACCTAAAGATAATGGCACATTTAGGCTTGAAAGTATAATTACATCGATTTTACACCGTGCCACCAGTCTGCATTTTATTTTATTTTTGAGCATTTTAAGTACTTTTGAGCTACAGCGTATTGTCTTATTTATAATATTCTTTCTCTTTTATTAGTGAATTGTTTTTTGTTTGTTTTATTATGGTTTGTGTTTATGTATTTATTTATTATTTATTGATTTTAAATAGTCTCCAGGTTCCCACTTCATTTAATATTTTGAGATTTCTTTCAGTAGTTTGTTCTTCGAGTTTTTAAACATGTTACACCCACCGACCAATCACAAAACACGGGTAGCCAATCGTCCAATCAGGCTTCACTTGAGCGGCACCGCTTCCTGGTTGACTTTCCACGCGCCTGTGTGCTTTCCAGAGTTTGGCACGCAACGCAGCTCAGGTTGGTTTAAGGTTTTTAGTAAAAACAACGTGGTCAAAGTAGTGTTTAGCCCATATACCTGCTGCTTGTTGTTATGTCATAAAGTGGATAATGTGTTTCTTTTGACCTTAAACCTTGTCTGTCCGTGTACTTCATTCAGTAAACGTGTGTGCTGGTCTTCAGTAATATACACGCTTGTGTTGGTTTGCAGGAGTAATTTATCTCATGGCCAAGGACAAATCGTTGAAATCAAAACCTCTTAAGAGGAAGGATCTGGGTCCATCTGATGACCGTACAGAAATAATGGACACTGAAGTAAATACGAAGAGGAAAAAGATGGATGCAGATGTGAGTAGCACAGAGAATGGTATTTTACAGCACTACCTGAAATCAGTCACAGTATCATTAACACTTTGTTTTTAAAGCAGGAGGCTCCTGCTCACATGTCTCAGCTAACAAACACAACAGATGATAAAAAACGGAAAAAGAACAAGAAGAGCAAAAAGGAACGAGTGAACCAAACCGTAGAGCAAGCAGAGGTGAGAATGTTCACTGCTGAAAATGTGACTTAAAGACTTTATTTGGCTCTTTGTAGGTAGTCAGCTAGTTTACAGTGTTTTACCGTGAAAAAATCTTTTTTGTGACATAATCATGGTAAAGCATAGAGCAGCGTGGCAAACATGTAATAACACAGATAATGAACTGACAGGTAATAAATTAAAATTTTTGGCACCGAGACATGCTGTCATTCAGTTCAGAGAGACTTTTATGCTTGCATGATTCATTTAAATAACACTGATGTGTCTCAATTTTAAATTAAAAACAGTCAGATCTGTACAAAAATTAGGATCCATGTTTTGATATCTAGCACTGAATGGCGCTTTTACCCCACAGCACAGATGATTTTCATGTGTTTTGGTGAAACCATGTATATACAGTTTATTCAAGGAGGGTACTCAGTTGGCAGGAGGATGTCACAGTTTGGATGTGATGAGTTGCTCATACTGTCGTCCTTTGCTGCTGGTTCGTTGATGGGTTTTCTCGAGGGGGTCCTGCTCAGCTTGGACCATCGGCTTTTATCCTGGAAAAAAAGCCTCAACTTTTCCCTAAAGGCCTCCCCGAGGAAGCCGTAGATGAGAGGATTCAGGCAGCTGTTGGAGAAAGCCGCCAGCCTGACGGCGTGACCTGTCAAGGGGTAATCCTGCCACAGCGTGCCCCCGTTCATGTCGCCCCTCACGAGGTGCACACTTATAAACACGTTCTCTGGCAGCCAACAGAGGAAGAAGACGACCACAGCGGCTGAGATGAGTCGCAGGGCTTTCTGCCTGCGAGGCCTCTGCAGGGGGCTGTTTAGTTCCCAGAGGCTGCATTTGAGCACCCGTGCTATTCTCCAGTAGCACACCCCCAGGATGCAGAAGGGCAGCAAGAATCCCAGCATCACCTCCAGCCACTGAATCTGAGTCACGTTGGCGAAGCAGAAATGAAGCTCTCCGGCGTGTTGCACTTGAGCTACAGCGAAAGGCAGCAAGGTGAGCAGGGATGAAGACGTCCAGATGAGGCAGCAGCTGAGCCATGCGTGTGGTATGCTGCGACCCATGGAGTTGGTCAGCGCGACGAAGCGGTCGAGGCTCATCCAGGTCAGAAAGAAGACGCTGCTGTACATGTTGGCCTGTTGGAAGAGGTTCATGAAAGTGCAGAGGCCGGCCTTGTCGTAGTAGCCCTTCTTAAGATTGAACACCTCAATCAGAGAGTCAGCTACCAGAAAGAGGTCAGCCATGGCCAAATTCACGAAGTAGCGATCTGGAGGTGTCATGCGGCCCCTGTGGTTAAGGTCTACCACTATAATAAGGATATTCCCAACAAGACCGACAGGAAACAGGAATATGGTGTAGAGGCTGGAAAGGATCAGGCTGATAAAATAATAATTATCCGAAGCTGCCTCCGGACAATCGGAGGCGACTGCCTGTGTGTCATTTGGATGTGCACTGAAGTTATTGTCAGCAATGACTTTGTAGTCCACATTCATGGTCATGTTCATGTTCCCCTTTTGTCTTTAGCTGTTGTTAGCAGCATCCAAACACTAAGTTGCCATAGTTCCTAGATTTTTGAAGACTAAGTAGTTGCTGAGGAGCCTGCGGTACCATCAGTTCCCTCTTTGTGTGAGCGGTAGCTTTTGGATAGAGTGAGGTGCTGATGCCACTGTTTCCCCTAGACAGAAAGAAGAAGCGAAATGAAGTCAACAGCCTGTTTCACTTTCTTAAAACATCAATTAATTTCAATTCACATCAATACAGTTGCATTTATATAGCACAAAATCAAAGAACAGTCAGCTCAAAGGGCTTTATATTGTAAGGTACAGACTCTACAATATTAGAGAGCAAACCCCAACAATCAGACGACCCGTGTGAGCAAGCCCTTGGGAACAGGGAGAAGGAAAAACTTCCTTTTAACAGGAAGCAGCCTCGAGACTAAAGGAGGGGCAGCCATCTGCCACAACCGGTTGGGGACTGGGCGCCGAAAAGTAGACGTCCAGGAGGTAATAATTCTGTACACAACATCAATAAATACATTAATTCCCCGTTTTTCCAGTGCAGTTTTTTCTCTCCACTGTTGCCAAGGGCTTGCTCAAAAGAAAGTTCCGTGCACTGAGAGCACTGCTGTATTGACCTGAACCAAATAAAACTGAGTGAAATGTGACTGGCTGTCACTGGCTTGCTTCTAAGAGGTGACACAGATTGTTTTGCTCGCTGTGGCGGGCAGGTCGTGCTGTCTAGATAGCAGCCGTCTGAATCATCATTTTAATGTGACAAATTACAAAACTATGTGATAGTTCACTGTGTTTTACTTCAGCTCTAGTTATTGCCCAAACGTTGGGAGCATCACAGAATTTTCTCGCCTTTAACAAATGACAAAGAATGATTAATTAAACCATTAATCACTGATTAGTTTTTAATGGAAACAGAAGCAGAGGTACTGCAGTGACACATTATGTTGCCTCATGTAAGATGAGCAAAGCTAACTTGTCATGTTAGCAGAGCTGAAACGAGCACTGATACTGTCTAGTTGACCGTACCCTTGAAGAGATATCCCATAAAAATTCATTAGTGATGTGACTTTTAAGTGGATGTTTATCTGTTTGAAGTGCAGCCGCTTTGAATATAGTCATACAGTCAAAAAGAATACTTTCCGAGATCCTTCATCTAACTTATCAGATCTTAAAGATGCTTACGAGCGTTTAGAAATTTAAACTCCCAACCAGAAGCACCTCCAGGCTGTAGGATTCGTTGTATGTTAGTTCAAAGCGTTTAATATCAAACAGGTAAGCCATAACATGCTGAGGAGATACTTGGAAACTATAAGGAAAGCTAAACTGGTGATAAACAAATTAAGGCGTCATATAAAAGAGCTTGGACTCACCTGTGATTTCTCGGTCTGCGTGTATTGTCCTCCCTCTCCGTTAACGCTGGCAGTAAAAAGTGGTTTCAGTATGAATGCGGAGAAATGTTTACAGCCACCCACCACTTGCAACAAGAAACACAAACACACAATGCAGGCGCGTCTTCATATCGCAGCTTTTGAGCCAAATGTGTAAAAGTGTTTTTAAAATTAAACCTTTACTATTTTTTATTGGCAGTACTGTCACTTGGCAGTTTGATCATCCCCTATTTTTATCAGTGTGTGGGTATCATTTTATTGCTTATGATTATATCAATTTGAGACATGAGGTCGTCTTGTCAACACTGGCACGAAAGCACGCAAACACGGTCATGATTGTGTAATGTTAAAATATGTAAACATGGGAGTCGATCTGTCTCTGGACAGCACATTTACACTAAACAAGGTGGACATGCAGACATGCATAATTTCACTTAGTCTCTCCTTGTTTCACATTACTTGAAAACCCCAGAAAGACGGTTTGTGCAGGAACACAAACTGTGCGCTTTGTTCTGGTTTGTAGGGTGGTGTCTGAATCTTTTATCACTTTATATGTGATGATTTTAAAACTGTAAGTAGCATTCATAAGAGCCCGATTTCAGCAATCACTACTGTGACAGTTAAGTTAAGACCAGCTTCTTAATGAACTCTGCTCCTGCATTCACTTTCCTGGTTCCTGGGTTTGTGTCGCCCCGTGTTGCCACCGATGCAAAACGTTATCCACGCAGATCGCTTATTCCTAGAACTGGTGCCCATGAATTTCTTGAAAAGTGTTCATCTGATTCAGTAACTTTTTATTTTTTTATTTTTTATTCAAGCATAATTACATGAGGGCTCGTTGACACTGTTGGCATAAATATAGACTCTGACTTTGGTTTTCCTAGACTTAATTTTTCCTATGTGGCATTCAGGGAGCTGCAGAGGTTTTTCCAAGCATTTGTCTTAATGGACTTTTGTGTAAATCAGGCTTATGCAAACAGAGTTTCCAAGAAAAGACATTTTCCCGGCAACAGGTTAAAAATTCATACAGAATCTCATGTAATAATAGCTCCTTTTTAATTCCCCGATTAAAGAAATAAATCATTTGAATTGACATAACATGGCAAGATGATGCACAGTAACAAGATATAAAGCATTTTTTTTCCCTCTTTTTGTACATTTTGTAAATGAAATGTTAAAAAAAATACATTTGATGAGAGTTCTGCAAGCTTTCAGTGACTGGATAGATAGTGAGGTGGTCCATAACAGGTAAGACATTAAATATGATGCATGGGAAGAGCTCTGTCCTAGCAAACAGACACATTTCTTAAGACTCGATGTCCTCCAGAGTGTCTGTGATCTCAATGTGCGGAGCTATGATGTTCCTGTTGGGCTGTGGCCCTGGACGTCGGCAGCAGTCCCGCAGCCGCCTGATCACTCCATAGAGGCTTTCCCGACACGGCCTGTGCATGAACAGGACGAGCAGCAGGCTCACGCTGCTCCCTGAGAACAGCACAAACTCAGACACACTCAAAAATGCTTGCTGGTGGAACGTCAGCTGTCTTTCACTATTAATCAGAGCCCCTCTAAGCAGCGCCACGCTGTAGAAGAGCTGGCAGATGAGCGTAAAACCGGTGACCGCCAGGAACACAGGGCCTTCCTCAGAGCCGGAGAGGAAACGTCCATTCGACTCCCTCTGGCGGATACAGCCACCTATCAGAAGTCCCAGTTGGAGGATGTAGGGAATCAGGAAGACCAAACACAGCCTAGCAACTGCGTATGAAACACCATCTGTGGTGGGATCCATCAAACAGTTGCCCTCTTTCTGCAAATCTCCTCTGGGTCCACGAATGCCAGCCAGCACCAGAGAAATGAGTACAGAAGTGATGCCCACTAGTGCCGCACAGACACGAGACTTTCTCAGCAGGTGATTGGATGGAGGATCAAAGGTGACGACAGATGCCATGAGCACTAAGACCAGCAGGCCACACAGAGAGGCTATGTTGATGGTAAAGGAGAGTGCGGCACAGCCTAAAGCTGTGGTGTTTAGGTAGGCAGGTCTGTGGGCCACCATGTGCAAAGAGAGGAGCAGGAGCAGCAGCTGGAAGCCACAAAACACCCAGAGGAGGCAGCCGAGCCAAGCCAGCCTCTTGTGGGCGCGATAAGTCTGAATGAAACTGTAAAGCAGGAAGCAGCCTGCTAAGAGACCGAAGGTAGCAAGCAAACTGTAGACGTAGTTTGCATTGCTGATTAAGTCATTGGCTGCAATCTTGACTAAAACAGAGTTGTCCGTGGTCTTGACGCTGCTCTCTGTGATGTTGACGCTGCTCTGTGTGATGTTGACGCTGCTCTGTGTGATGGCAGAAGAGATGGAAAATTGAGATGTGGGGCTCGTCGGCGTGGTAGGCGAGCCTGTGCTGTAATCAGACTGAAAATCAAAGCAAAAAACAGCCACTGATGAGAGTCAGAAGATTTCCTCAAAAACAGAAGTCCAGTGATTTGAAAACACTTGAATATACGTGCATGAATCACTATGAAGACTTTCCACAGGAACACAGAAATTACAACACACAGTTCCTTCCTAAATGAACTCAAAGTTGAGCTAAAATCTAAACTGTATGCAAAGAACTTTAAAAATACACCGTGTATGAAGACGTATCAAGTAAAAAGTTGTAGTTTTGTTTTCTGTGAGGATTTTCTCTGAGTCTTTGTTTGCTTCCCTTTGAGGACCTGCCCGTTCAGTAGAAACACATGTTTCCACTTACCATTTTTGCTTCCGTCACCCGCACGTCTGTTTTGTATCCACCGGCCCGACGCTGCTACCGCCTGAGTCAAAGCTCCGAAAACGATGCTGTTCGCATGGACACAAGTGCTCATCATACAAAAGGGTTTTCTATTTCTGTGGGCAATGCCCAGGCAGCATACTTTCAGAATGACTTTTTGGCCATGTGACCAAAATCTCTTCTTCCCCTCCCTTTTTTTTTTTCTTCTTTTCATCACCACCAGAGGTCGGCTAAATCGGAGAGCATAGTGTGTCCCTTGTTCAACTTCCTCTGGCATAAAAGTCTTTAAGTTGTGCTGTGTTTACATCCTATAACAAGGAAATGTTTTTCAAATTATTATTATTTAAAAACTTCTTCAGCAGTTCTGTGAAGTTGAATTGTTTCATTGTCTTTTTTTTTTTGTTGGCTATTTATAAACCATCCAAGTGCATGTACAGTGATGTGTGCTCTGCGAACGCACTGCTGAAACTGTCTGGGTACTGCACAAAAAAAGCGTGCTATGGTGAACTCGTAATACTGTATGCACAGGAAACGTTGCCCAGAGCTGCAGAGCAAGAGGAAGTGATCTAAACCTGAAAACTGCTTTTGACTTTTGACTCATCTGTCTGCAAAAACACAGTAAAATGTCACATTTAGTTTGCATTTAACGGAGTTAAAATTGGCATGTGCATAAGGAGCAGTTTGCGATCAAATGATTTCATTTTCGCTGCGACTTATTTGTGTGTTTGCTTTGCTTTGTTGTGACAGGTTCTTGATCCACCCAGCTGTCCTGAGGGGACAGCTGAGGCAGAGGGGCTCGAGGACTTGAGTCCCGAGGAGAAGAGGGTCCTGGAGAGGAAGCTGAAGAAGATTCGGAAAAAGGAGGAGAAGAAAAGGCTCAAAGCGGAGGGAGTGACTTTGGAGCAAACAAAACCATCTGGACCCAGTGCACAACAGCAGGCCTTAGACTACCTCACGTGGTAAGAATAGGGTCCAGAGGATTACCAGGATGCAATCAAAATGCATTATGGGATGTGTAGCAGCTGATTTATGAATTAAAACCCAGGATATCGTATAATTATTATTATTTTTATGTTGTAAAAGCTCACCACTAGATTACTGGATCCTCTTTTTTTACTCAAAATATTTTTATTGAACAATTATGAATACTGTTAACAAAAAAGAGGGGCGATTGATACCAACAAAACCTTTCCTTGCAAACCACACAGAAGTTAGCTGCAACACAACTGAGCTTCACATTCCCATTAACACAGTAAAACATACAGAATGGTAGGTCGTCTGACCTCTATGGAATAAGCAAATGTGATAGTCAGCAGGAAGATCCTTAAATTGAAGGTTAGAGAAGTTTTTATTCTGGCTGGAGCACTGGACCTTTTCAAGACTGAGACACGACATGAGATGAGCAAGCCGCTGAACATGGGTGGGCGGGGCAGCAGCCTTCCACCTCGTCAAAATGGCACGTCTAGCCAGGAGGGAACCAAAAGACAGCACCCGATGTTTTGCCCCGGTGATATACTTATCATCCTTACCCACTGTACCAAAGAGAGCAAGTAGGGGGTTGAGAGCCAGTTTCAGGCCGGCAGCCTTGTTCACGGTGCAGAAAACTCATCTGGATTTAGATAAGTGGGCCCTATGAACTACTTTGAATTGTAATAGGGAGGGGCGTGCACAGAGTGATGTGGAATTTACCAGAGGACTGAATCCCAAACGTCATCTGACATAGATATACCTAACTCCTTCTCCCATGTGTGTTTGAGGCCTTCAAAGGGAGCTGAAGTTACACTGCACAGTTTGTTATAGATGTGAGAGATTATACCTTTGCCTGAGAGTTGCAAACTAAGGAGCTCGTCCAGTAAGTTAGCAGCTGGAGCTTCTGGAAAATTTGAGAGGTGGGATTGCAAAAAATGCCTGAGTTGTAAATATCTAAAAAAAAGTGAGTTTTGGGAAGAGTGTATTTTGCTGACAGCTATTGTGTATAAAGAGACCTTTAAAGTAAATAACACCTGCTCGAAACCAGACCTGAAACAAATTGTCCAAAGTGGGAGGGAGGAATAGGTGATTTGATAAGATGGGGCTTTGAAGTGAGACATTTTTAAGATTTAAATGTCACCTGAACTGAGCCCACACCCTGAGGGAGTGCTGAATTATCGGATTATATGTGAAGTCCATTGGCCATTGAAGTTGTCAATGGATAAAGGGAGAGAAGAACCGAGAAAGGAGGCAAGAGAAATACCCTGAGTTGATTCTAACTCCATTGCCAGCCAAGTGGTAGGGCCCGCTCGATTTCTGGCTATTAGTACAAACTGAAGCAACAGGAGTCAAATATATGTACTTGATCCATGAGATGAAATTTGAACCGAACCCAAATCTTTCCAGCACAGCAGATAAATAGTTCGATCACTGGATTCTCTTAACATAACATACACGGGAAGACTTTCTCAGAAATGATTCATAATTCTAGCATTTGATAAGTTGTTGTTGTAGTGAATCATGGGGGTGGAAGTATGTACTTTCTGCAATAGTTACACTGCAGCCCACAGTGGTTTTTGCCTTTGCAGCTGGGCTGAAAACCGTTCACGGTGGAAGTTCCAGAAGACGAGGCAGACGTGGTTACTGCAGCACCTCTTTGATTCTGAAAAGGTAAAATTACCCAACATTCCTCCTGAACGATGGGGGTGACAGGGGGTTTTCTCAGCTTTGTTTTAGACTGGTCAACCGCTACGCTCTTTCTTCCTCTTTCTGTTATTAAATAACACTCTCTATTCTCAATCCAAAACTATTTGTCATTTTTAAGCAGAAGAGAATAAGTAAAAATGGTAAAGCTATAAGAAGTTGAAATGTTTACAAACATTTTCATGTAATTCATGTTATCCTCATTTTTGAATCTGTCTGAAGAGAACACTGACAGGAGATGCTCCGCATTAGCGTCACTAGTATCGTAATGATTTGTCACCCTGTAGCCAAGAGTCTCTATAATATGTATACAGAGAATCAACAAGATTAAAGTAGGTTCTTCTCAGATTCCAGACGACACGTTTTCGGTGCTGCTTCAGTACCTGGAGGGGCTTCGTGGAAGTGGGAAGGACACAACTGTGCAGAAGGCCTTATCCCTGGTGGAGGAATCTGGAAAAGCACCAGAAGACATAGTCGTCCAGCAGAGGGCACACAGAGCCAGAGAAGTTATCCAGCTATTATCCTGAGCCACAAATATTACAGAGAGACTCGCAAAAAGACTAAACTCTGTTCACAGGACTGAAGGATCGGCCTGATCTAAGGCTTGGGCTAAAGAGGTTTTAAATAAACGGTCCCTGTTTGTGTTGCCAGTATTATTCACCTGTTTTAATAATTAAAAGTGTTACTTTATCACCTCTGTTTCTTTACATTACTTGTGTGTTATGTTGGTTGGTAGTTATCAGTCAGGAAAGCCATGTCATACAATATGAAGGCAGATTAATGTTTTATTCAAATGTACAGAAGCTGTTTGTAAATCCTTTTTTCAACTCCAGCAAGTAACTCAGAGGTTACTGTTCAACTTTGCCAGTATGGGCAGATCACTTCGGAGAGATGTGAATCCCTCAAAGTCAAACAGATAGCTGGAAGACCTTTTGAGTAACATCTCAGGAATGTTTGTAGCTAAGACATGTTTGTGCACGTCAAGGCCCATAATCAGTGAAGCCACTGAACTGAATAACTTTTCTTTTGCACTCTCCTTGTAATCCCAGTAGCAAACACATACCAGACCGCTGGGTTATGTTCTCTGCATACATTTTATATTTGCTTATCATCTGGTTTTTGTTACTAACTCAGTAAGTGTGCAGGTGATTAATTTTACCCGCATCTTTCACAGACTATTAATATAGCTGTGTTGTGCTGTTACTTCTTTGAGTGCAGTATGACAGGAACATGTGTTTGAGTCTTAATATAGGACACAAACACAGAGGAAGGAAACAAAGTCAATATCTAGCCTAGCTGTGATGACTTCATTTCCTATACAAATGCACCTAAATACAACACAAAGACATAAATGCTTTTCAGCCACTTTGTATATATGGACGATGTTTTTTCGGTTACTTGCATATGCATGAACAAAAAAATTTACTCCTCATTTTATTATATCTTGTCAGGATATTGAAATATGCAAACATGGAAATGCAGAGTAAAAGGCAAAAACAGTCTGAGCTTGAAAATCAATATTTTGTGTGACTACTTTTACTCTTCAACACAGTCTGAACTCTTTAAGTCTGTGTGTAAAGTAGTGTTCAGGAATAGTTCTCCAGACTGGCTTTTTGAAGAGTAGCTGTCTGACAGCCACCCTTCTACCTTTGTCCATTTCTGTTGAGGCTTCAGTGAACAGTAGGTGCTTCTTAGATTCTATGTCAGGTTGGCTGGATATTTTCCCCTCATGTCTTACGGACATGATGTTCTGCTGTCGATTTATTGTTTTAGGCTTAACAGACAAACAAAACTGGACTGTAAACATTTTCAAAGCTCATTTTATTTCTCATGCACAACGGTGTCTTTTCATAGTCTTGGAGAGCTCAGTGATGAATCCTCGACAAAAAAAAAAAGAAATTACCCACTCTCAGCTACGCTTGCAAAATTTTATTCTGCAGTACCAACAGCCTGAGCTCTACCAGTGTTGTCCGGTTACTTTATGCGTCTCTCTGATGCTGATCAACAAACTCTGCTCAGGTGCTTTGGCTCGTTTTTGCTCCAGGTAATCTTCACTGAACATCAATGAGTCCATTGTCTCCTCTTAAGTGTTGATCCTTAACCGTCACGCTCACTGTACCTTTTGCGTCATCTGTCACATATAGGGGGAAAAAAATCATTCATATAAACTGTACGAGACTTAAATGAGTGAAGACTGACTTCACTCACTTGTCTCAGAAGTAAAAGGAATGTCACGTTGAGTAAGAAGAGCTCGCAATCTCTCAGTCTCTTCTCTCAGTTTTTGGTAGTCCTGTAGAAAAAATATACCAAAAAAACCACTATTGAGCTTGTATTGTGATTTTGTTGTAATGTTAGAAGAGATACTACTTTGAAAGGTTACATACCGCTTTACATTTCTCTAAAGAGTTTTGCCTTGCTGAATCAGCTGCTGCCTCTTGAACCTTGACTTTTACTTTCCGACTCTTCAGCAGTCCGGCGTCCTCAAAAATATCCTTTAAGAGATTGTTGTATCCCTGGAGCACATGTACAAAGTGTACACATAACCATTCCACGAATAATTAAAATGTACATAACAAAGGACACCTTGAAATGTGTGTACCATAACAGAGCTCAATCAGAGGTGTCTGATTTTCAGCTACAATAACTGTACATAAAAGATGGACACAAAGCTGTAAACAGACCGTTTTCGGTGTTGTCATATTTTTGACGTTTTGAAAACTCATGTGATGAATGAGGAAACTGAAGGACGCTGCATGATAATATGGGTGCACTTCTGAATCACAAGTATGCTGTTTTATGTTCATTTTTCACTCTAATAGACATGCTAACACATACTGTACTCAACAAAATTTGAGTACAGTATGTGTTAAGCAGCTGAGAAGATGAACTAATCTGGAAGGTGTTTACTGATAATGTAAATCAAGTGAGCAGTAGACTTATTTTCTCCTAGACGTCTGTACAACTGGATGTCTTTTTGCAAACAGGTGACTCGCCCCCTAGTGGCCATTAAAAAGAATGCAGCTTTAAAGCGCTTGAATTTTAGCTTCACTAAGTCTGTTGTTTATATCCACTATATTTTCTGCATCTACATTTCATCATCTCACAGGTGGCATAAACTGACATAGATGAAAAGCATAGAGGAAGCAAGTCATTCTGCAGTATTTGTTTACCTACCAAACTGGCCCTCACCTGTTCAGTTATAAGTCCTTCATAGCGAGCCTGCTCCGCTTCATCCCATTCCTTCTGTAGCTCCTCTTTCAGAGTTGGATACACTTTAAAAGAGCACAGAATTTATAAGTAACCCTATCCCCATTGGCATGAAAGTAAGTCCTGCTTAACTTACCTAAAAGAGAATGTGGATGGCAAACAAGGGGGGTCTCAAAGGTTAGCGAGTACACACAGGTACTGGGCTCTGAGACTTGAGCGAGCTTGCTTCTTGTGCTGCAGACCAGAATCACCTGCAGATCCACGACAAGAAAGAAAGAAAACACAATTTCTTATTCATGTTGCTGAGTAAGAAAGTAATTCCCAGTTCCACATATTTATTCTTAGACTCTAGTCGAGATCTCCACTGACTGAAACAGCTCCCTTCCCCCACTCACTCTATGCCACTTTTGTTCCAATTGACTGACCCCCATAAAAGGCAGGTCTGAACAGCAAGTTGGGATATGGCAGAAAACAAGGAAAAACATAACTTTAAGGGCTGATGGGATGATTTGCCAGTTGTCTTTGACTCGGTTTGGCACTAGTTGTTATGTTTACATGCACAATACATTCAAGCAGTAATTAGCATTGCAAAGTGTTGGCCTCATATTCAAGACGGGGCCCAAAATCTTGTCAGTGGATTACCAGGAGGATTTTAAAGGTTTAGATACCTTTGTTTCTCTGTTTCTGTTTCCACAAGTGTCGCCGTCTCTCATCCACATGCTGGTGAAAGTGTTGTTTGCCATTTCCCACTCTTGCCAGATCCTGCAGGGACCAAACACAAACCTGACTCCCACAAGAAGCCAACAGCTTGCTTCACACATTTACATCTGGTTTGTGTTTTGTTTCTGGAGCTTCTTACCCCAAGATCCCACTGTAGGCATTCCACCTAAATGTTTGCTCATGCTGAGTGACGTTGTGAAATGGACAGAATTCATATTTATACCTGCAAAGTGAGGACACAACATGCTATTGTTTGTTTTGTATTTTCCAGACGCTCAGATCCAACATGTAATAAGCTAATGGTCTGCACTGTGGAGATATGGTGGAATATACTACTGTGTGACAGGTTAAATACATACGTCGACTCCGTGAGACTGAAGCACTTTCCAGCAAGCTGATGAAGGTGCACTGGGCCTTAAGGAGGAAATCATTGCTCATATGATGAGACAGAAAATCTAAAGGACCCTTTAGTCAACATTTAGAACATTTTACATATCGTTAGCTTCATAGCATAAGTGCCTAAGTCATTTTTTGGTCAAATTGAGATTTTTGCCTAACTTTACTCCCCTACCACTGCTGCATCATCCTGTCCGTCTGAAACACAAAACACAAAAAAATGACTTAGGCACTTATGCTATGAAGCTAACGATATAATTTAATGAATTGAGGCTTTAAATCAGGATTAAGTGGGCTGAAGCAGTGAAACTCCCTCTTTTGTCAGTGTAAAGAAATCTAATAAAACATTTAATCCCTGAAATGTCACAATATAAGAAAAAAGAAGTGCAAAGATAAAGAAATGCTGCTGTAGCAAACAAAAGAAATCTGTCAGCGTGACTCTTTGGGCTTAAATTGTGAGAAATAAATGTCAGAAATGCCAGAAAAAAGTTCTGGTAGTTCATCGCCTTGAGTGTACTACAACTATAAGACAAAGGTTTTGCTATGGTATGAATGGAGGAAAACTCATGAAATACACTTATAAGTCAGAAATCTACGCCTCCTTTCCTCTTTATGTCTGACACCTCCGGTTTAAATATTTAAATGATGAGTTTGTTTTACCGGACACTGGAGCTGGGGTCACTTTAGGTTGCAGTCTGCTGCCCTGAGCCACAAAAGGGTTGTTCAGCCTGGACACAAAGTAGATCCATTAGCAGCAGGCCAAAGTCAACAAAACTGCGCAATGTGAACTTATTTTGCTTCACGTACCCAAATGTGTTTGGCTCTTCGACTATCTTCATTTTACCGGCAGATCCATAGTTAACTGCATTAAAAAAACAAGCCGAGATCAGACACACGAGCTCTGTTTAGATTAAAATCTCTGAATGAAGCTGCGCAGTAAAGCTGTACTTACTGAACAGATACACGCAGACAAAACACAAACTCATTAAATGAGCTACTCGGTAACTGAAACAACGCATTATTATTTACGTTATGAAGGCGTTAAAGTGTTACTTTTCTGTCTACATTTCCTCTTTTGCTCGTTCCGGTCAGGTGACACGCCACGTGATCAAAATAAGCCGTGAGCATGCGTGTTTTTCATATGGGACTGCGACGTGCTTACCACGATACGAAGCCAATCAAGCTAGGTTATACTTCATATGAAAGTGTTTCCGGATGAAAGGAGACTACTACTAGTTTGTGATAAAGTCTTGAAAGTTGCTTATGTCTAATTCCTATTGCAAATAAGAAGTTTTTGCGTCTCTTTTTTTGGGCAGTTCTCTTTGTTAGACGAAACTGTTGTCAGCAGGATAGCCAGATAGCTTAAGTCATACTTCTTGGTCAGTTCATTGCAGTGACAGTCTGACAGTGACAGTTAACTAACTAGCAGCATGGGACGAAAAAAGCAGGGAAAGTTTGTCCGTCCTGACAACAAGGGCAAAGACAAACGTCACAAAATGAAAGGGAAATCTTTAGAGGCCTTTACAGAAGAAATGCACACTGCTTTGGAAGGTAGTGTATTGATTATCTCTAATGCAAAAATGTTTAACATGTTGGCTGTAAGGCATGCTATTTACATTAGCGTCAGCATCATGAAATGCTGTTTACACTAGGAAAAAGTGCCCATTGCTCAGGACTGATAACACTCGATATGGTGTAAACTCTTGAGAGATCTGAAATTGTGAACTTTCTCTCCTCAGCAAGTCTTCACAGGGAGGAAGGAGCAGAGGCCCCTCAGGTGAAGCTTCCTTGCCCACTTGCCATGTGGGAGTTGGGTCACTGCGATCCCAAACGTTGTACTGGCAGAAAGTTGGTGAGGAAGGGCTTTGTACGCAACCTGAGACTCAATCAGAGATTCAACGGGCTCATACTGAGTCCAATGGGCACGAAGTATGTGACGCCAGCAGACAGGTTTGTTCAGCTGTTTCCTCTGTACTTCAGCCAATGAAATCAAAGAATCTGTAGCCATAGACCACCTCATATAACTATTTATATACACATTTTGATGCACACCTGTTTAGTTACTCATTAACAAGTGTTCTCAGGGTGAAAATGTTTTTTTTTTTTATTGTTCAGAGTAACAACAGTAGGTGAAATAAACACGCGTTAGGACCATGAAATACAAAAGAACATCTATTAAAATACAATGTGGACTCTTGAAGTAAATTAGATACGGCAGCAGAAGACCACACTGGGTCAGCTAAGAACAGGAAACTGAGGCAACAATTCACACAAGTTCATCAAAACTGAACAAAAGTTTTTGGAAAAAGGTTGCCTGCTCTGATGAGTCTCGATTTCTGCTGACACATTTGGATGGTAAACAACACAAAAGCATGGATCCATCCTGCCTTGTATCAGCAAGTCCAGCTGCTGCTGCTGGTGTAAATGTGTGGAAATATTTTGTCGGCACACTTTGGTCCCTAAAGTACCAACAGAGTAGTGATTTAGCACCACAGACTACTTGAGTTTTGGTTCTGATGATGTCCATCCCTTTATGGCCACAGTGTACCCATCTCATGGTAGCTGCTTCCATCATCTAAGCCTGGTTTCTTGACTGTAGTAAAATGACAGCTTCAATTGCCAGATCTCAATCCAGAAGTTTTGAATCATGGATGTATATCTACAACAACTGTTATATTCTGTCATGTCGATATGTACCAAAATCTCTGAGGAACAAGGTTTCAAACTCCTTGTTGAATCTATTCCATGAAGAATTAAGCTAGTTGGGAAGGCAAAAGGGGTACAACCCAGGACTAGTAAAGTGTACTTAATAAAGTGTCCCCTGAGTGTAAAGGCCCTCCTTTTAGGTTTATTACTTGATTATTTACTCCATGTAGAGCTTGATCTTAAAGATCAGTCATATTAAAAACTTGAGACATTCCAATGCATTGTTATATTAAAACAAATGTTACTATATCAAAGTGTTTTGTTGGTTATGAAAATTAAATAAATTCTATAATTTGTGTCACTGTTGTGATGCAATCCAAAGCGATTTTTTTCTCTCCATGTTTTGTCTGCACAGAGAGATTGTGGCCAACAATGGGCTCGCAGTGATTGATTGCTCCTGGGCCAAACTGGAGGAGACACCCTTCAATAAGATGGTTGGAAGTCATCCCAGGTTACTGCCGTACCTCGTAGCTGCGAACCCTGTAAATTATGGCAAGCCTTGCAAGTTGTCCTGCGTTGAAGCTTTTGCTGCCACGTTCTGCATCGTAGGTAAGGGTTTAGGTTTAGTTATTCAGGAATACCGCAGCAACTGCTTTTTGTGTCTTGTTTTGGTTATGGCAGTTAAACTGTGACATATTGTTTCTGATATTGCAGGTTTTGAGGAACTGGCATTGCTCTTATTGAAGAAATTCAAATGGGGGACAACGTTTCTGGAGCTCAATAAAGTCCTGCTTGGCCGCTACGCTGCTTGTCAGTCGGAAGAAGAGCTCCTTGGTGTAGAGAAAGAGTTTCTCACTTCTAAACCAGAGGAAGAGGAGGAGTTTGGTAAATAACCTGGGGTTTTACGCAGTGTCTGGGTTTGTGTAGCAGTGGAGGTAGAGGGTCACTGTGTTTTGGTTCAACCTCTTTCCTATTTTAGCTGTAGTTTGGCTTCATGTACAAGTAGTGGATCTTAAATAAATCACATTTATTGGACTTTAAGAGCTTTTAGATGACAGTTTCCAGTTTTAGTAACTGTTAAGTTTTAGTCGCATTTTTGTATCTTTGTAACTGTTGCAAGAACAATAAAAAAAAACATAGCATATGAAACATACAATAACAAGGCAAACACTGGGTGTTGTGATAGCAACAATATAACAATAAATAACAATATAACAATTTGGAAAAAATATGTAAATGATTTAGTGCAAAATGAGACCTGCTGTAGTGCAGTTAAAAGTGGGCATGGATCATCAGTGTTTGCATTAGCTCCTACTACAAAGTAGTGATTTTTTTCTGGCAAAGAAACTTTGATTGTCTTTTGGGGTTACTGGTAAAACATTAGCTGTGTTAACCCTAAAACACTAAAACAGAACGCAGAAATCACGCAGCAGCAAAGCAGAAAACAAAGAGGCTGAAACAAGAAAATAAGACTAAAGCGGGAAGTTGTGTTGAAGTGGCTAGCTGTTGCATCACTTTAGATTTCCTAATAACAAATACAAACTAGAAAAAAAATGACTTAGAAGGTAATTAGTTCTTGAAGGACCTCCTGAGTGCAAAAATCTGGAGCCACTCATGAGTGTTTCATATTTTGCGTAGAAAATGCAACGTAGGTGCAGTGATTTATTCAGACACATGCAAACAAATATGGAAATATAGCGTATAAGGCTAATATTATTCTAATGAGGTTGAAATTGAATATTTGATGTGACCACATTTATTCATCAACACAGCCTGAACTATTTCTGACTAGATTTCTGGTCCTTTTCTTTAAGTAGTCTTCATAAATGGTTCTCCAGGCTTCTTGAAGGACATTCATTCTTGGATGTTGGCTGCCTTTAGTTCTGTTCTCTGTCAAGAAGATCCCATACTGCTTCAGTAATGTTGAGGCCCAGGCTCTGGGGAGGCCGATCCATGACTGATAGTGTTCAACTGTCTGTTTTTCTATCCAGTTATGCTATTACTGCATTGGCAGTGTGTTTGCTGAAAAATTGAAGGCGCTGCCAGTTAGATGCTTTCCACATGGTGGTATCACCAGATAGTGGATGAAAATTTGAATGTACATTCTTAAGTGTGTAAATTTTGGCAAGATACATTTTCCCAGCACCTCCTGAACTTCTCTGTATATAATGATGATGATTTGAATCAAAAATGTAAAATATTTTAATACTCCATTTTTTTTCAGTCCAGTACTTCTTGTTTCCCTTCTTTAAGAATGGATTCTTGACATGGATTCCATTCATCTGACAGCATTGCTGATGAAGCAGTAGAAGGATCTTTCTTTAAAACATGACTTCCAGATGTTTCTGTTTACTGTAGGTAGTATCTTTAGGCCTGCCACTTTCTCTTGTCTTCCATTTGTCTAGTTTCTTCAAATTCTTTAAGGACATATGAAGACCATTTCGAGATGAGCCAAGGTTTTAGCTAAAAGCTCTTTGGGAATCACCTTGTTGGTGTAAAAATACTATTTCATGCTTGTTAAGCTGTTATCTTTGGGATTTTCATAAATTCAACAAAATAAATGAGAACAAATGATGCGTTTTTGTAACAAGAAAGTGCCTAAAGATACAAATTAAAGTTGGTTCTTGGCTTAATTTTCTGCAGTGTAGAAACAACAAAGGTCATCTCTTGAGTTGGGTCCCTTTGTGTGTTTGATTAATTCACGAGTCTGTGTTAAGTGGCTTGGTGGTCAGGTATTGGACTGGATTGAAAATGAGTGAAAAAGCAGCCACTATCCAAAGACAAACTTTGAAAGAGGTTCAGAGAGCCTGGAGAACTATTGCTTGAAACCACTTTGTAAGCAAATATTAAGAAATGAGGGATTTTTGCACAGTATTGTTGGTCATAATCAACTGTTTGATTCAAATGTATTTTTATTTTGGAAAGGTTCACTTTAGAAATGGCTTAATCTGAGTAATTGCTAATGAATAATTAGAATAATTTTTATAGTTTCTTGTTGTGACTCACATTTGCTAAATTGTCACGGGGAAACCAGTGTTCTCATATTTGTTTATAAGATATAAAACTCGTATTATTCTTAAGACTTTAAAGACACTTAGTAATGAATATTCCAAGGGGAAATAAATGTCATTATGAACTGTTTTATCTGATTGATTATTCTGTGGACATTGATATAACTGTTCCTTGCATTGTTTCCTTGCCTTGTAATCAGGCTGCCTTGTTGTTTCTTTTTCCTTTCCTTATTGGATTTTGACTCATTTAATTTTGCTTGCATCTCTGAACACATCTGGCTGTGATTAGGAAGTCAGTATCCAGGCTGATTGTCTGGAAATGTCTAGAATCTGGATGTGTATTTTTGTTGCTGAGTGACCTGTAGTGCTGAATTAACTGCCCTCGTAATGAAAGCTACACATCTGTTTTGTTCATAGATCCATTTGATGTTAACTCTGGAGTAGAATGCATGAATCTCAACAGACGTCAGTGGTAAGTATTGATCTAGCATTCATGTATCTATTACAATAATTGAATAAATGTACCAAGAAAACTTTGGTTATATTTGACTTTATATAAGTTAGTTCTCTTAGTGGTGATGTTTATATGGCATAAAAATTACCAGCATAATTTTAAAAATGGCAAGAATTCTCTTAAAATAGGCTTTAACGATTTGTTTCCTATGTTTACTGGGTTCATTTTTGTGTTTAGTGCACCTGTAGAAGATGACTCCAGTGAGGACACAGACTCCACAGAGGAAGATGACGAAGATGAGGCAGAAGATGAAGAAACGGAAAGCAATGAGGAGACAAAAACAAGCTCACATGACCATGATGAAGAAGAGGATTGAATCAAAGACTTTACACTAAATTATATTTCAACCTTGGGTTCTTTTTAATACACGACTGTTTTAAAATGCTCAAAAAATATTTTGGCACATATGAATGGTTATGTTTTGTTTTGTTTGCTTATATGTCTACGTAAATTAATGAACTTTGATGCATGTCAACTAAATAGAAATAAAATAAGGGTGTTTATTATTATTATTATTATTATTATTATTACTGACATTTACACATTATATTCTTGGTTTATTGACAAAATATTTATTGGATTAAACTTGTTTGTTGGAATATACTTGGTTGCCACAGTTTCAGTTTCACACAAAGCGTTTTATGGATATTGGTCATTTTTGTCAGTTTGGGTATTTAGGAGTGCTTCTTCACTTAAGTTTAGTTACACTTGAATAAAAAAAAGACCTGTAGATCCTTCTTACTGCCATATATTCAAAGTTAGTCTAAAACGGGAGTTTGTAGGCCACGTCTACTGCGGTATTTGAATATCCACAACTGCTACCGCCTGACTCCGGCCCTATCAGTAAGATGAAGTTCAGTAGGTTGTTAATGTGGCGAGGGGGCGGACACAGCGGGACTCTCCTCTGCTGTCCTGCGGTAACATTGTTGTGGAACGACGTCACAGCTCGAAAATGAAGGCGCAGAGGCAGCCATTACTGGAGCTTCTCTAATTATTTTATTCCAAATAAATACTCGCTGAAAACTCTCATGGCAAGAGCTACAAGTCAGGTGGTAAGTGTTACAACTTTGCCGTGAATACCAGCTCGAAGCCGGTGCTCAAAATGGTCAGTGTAGAGGCTTTGTGGGGATAAATAGTTACGTCGGGCCTTCATTTGAAGAGCAGTGCTAGCTGAAGGAGATCGCTTAGCCTTACGACTCACTAGCAGCTTGCTAGTTTGCTAATGTTGGCTATCGCAACACGCAGTGTTTGCCTTGTTAATTTGGATCGTCAAATCTCACACAGTATTCATGAGTCACACTTTCTCGACTTATTTGGGCCTTTTGAAACGCTTACCAGTACACGATAATAGTTACACGGGACACATGAGCGTTTTCCTCTACCAGTAACTATTGGCTATTGATAGCTTAACAGGTTCGCGCTTTCGATATCCCCGTTTGCTAGCAGGCTAGCATTAGCATTATTGCGTTCTTCCATTGGTTAGCATATATTTTGAAGGAAAGCGTTGTGCTATTAGAGTGTCAACTTTCAAATCTTCATATAAACGGCAGGAAACTAACTTTGAACACGATTAAGTGACGTTTCTTGAAAATGCCACACGGTTTTGAAGTTGCTTGTGTTGCCTGATTTGCTAACGTTAGCTAATTGACTGTTGGCGTTAAGTTTGTAACTCACTGTCAGCGATGGCCGGCATTATTTGACAAGCCAGCAGGAGCTAACATTAGCTTGTTAGCAAGGTAAGTTCGCACAGGGCGGTTGTTTCACGACTTCCCAGAGTTAGGAAAACGTTATTCGGCGTTTTCCTCCAACCATTACATGCCTGACCAATAGCAGTGACTCAGTAGGTAGTTATATGGCTAGCTGAAATAGGCCGGAATAGGCAGCTAAAATAATGGCCACACCTTGGTTTTGAATGAGAAAAAGCTAGGCCAACTGAACTAATTAAACGTAAACTGAACTGCCAGATAAACTACACACTTATTGTTCGGGTAATTCAATGTGTTTCTATATAAATGACACCGGTACCGGGAATTTTTAGGAAGCACTATCTTTAAGTTTTAAACAGGCAGTTTGTGTGCCTCATCTGCCATGTCAGTTTGATTATGTACACATAGATGGTGTGAGTTCAGCGCAGTTTGTCTCAAGTATCACTGTCATATGAAAAATTAACTTTGACATAGTTTTTACAGCCTGAACACAGGTGGGTGGGACCACCAGGCTCAGAAGTGGCTCCTTAAGCAGTTCCTTCTTATCACTGTTAGACTTTGGTCTACAAGTGGTCTCACTTGTAGTAGTATGTTTAGGTTATTGTAATTTACAGAACTATAAGCAACAATAATTTTAAGCCAGCAGCCTGTAAAGTGCTTCGTGTAATATGTGAGTACATTGCTTTCTCTTCATGTGTCATATGTATACTTTGTGAAAGAGATTTAAGATTCAGGATTAATTATTATCATAACACAACGCAAGGTTGCACAACAAAATTCTACATGGAGTTCCTTCATGCTAATAAAGAACTGCATAGCAATGTAGATATAGCTATCATTAAAAAAATAATTAATTAATTTAGTTAATTTTCATGATGGAGTGCAATGAGAAAGTTCAGAGATTTCAAAGCATATGAAAGAAAATTCTTCAAAGTGTTGTTTACACCAGTGGGAACTTTCAGGTGTCAGTAGAGTGAGAAGACTGTGGTTGTGGTGGGTAACTTCTTTTAGTTTCATCTATGTAAACATCTCAACTCACCTTTGTCACTGGTGCCGGTGATGTTCTAGGAAGCTCATGTTTTTCAGTAATTAAGTTTAGCTGCTTTTGTCGTGTGTTCTTTGGGCCATCTAATCTGTATTTTGACAACTAATAACCGCATCAATTACTAAATCCATCGCAGACTGATGGAAAAACCTGAAATTCCTCATTTAAGTGATAGTTTAAAGTGCTGAATAACAAAACACATTTTCTTTATGCATTCATTTTTATTGAAAACGTTATTGAAATGTTAAATTGTTACTATTTTATCCTTATATTTTTGTCGTCACTGTTATGTTCAATCCAGTAATAGTTCAGATGGATATACAGTCCCTTAGCTTTCTCAAGTAAAGAGCCTTTCCACATGTGAATTGTTATTTACCTGTGTCACCCTGCTTAATAACAAATTCTTTATGGTCTCTCTTTTTCTTACAGTATGATGTTGTGCCCATTCAGCCCAGCGTTGTCATCTGTTCCTGCTCGCATCCATCAATGGTAAGAAACCACCCTGACTCCTGCTCGCCAATTGCAATCCCAGGCGCAAGCAGCAGCCACGGCCCCAGCATGGAGGGCGCAGCCTCACAGGCTTGTGCTGTAGGAGCATCTGCTAGCAGCCAGGCCCCACAGCTCTGCACACAGCCAGCCGTCCAGGCTTCTCAGCCACGCAAAAAGAGGCCAGAGGACTTTAAATTTGGCAAGATACTGGGAGAGGGCTCCTTCTCAACGGTATGTAACTTACATTCCACTTAGCTTTTGAAATGTGCCGAGGAAGATGTTGCTACATGCTAATGTTATTTTGATTAATGTACTTGGATGAGTCATGCTGAGTTAATTTTAGGTGAAGTGACAAGTAAGCCCAAGGAAATATTATTATTTTCCCTCAACATCTGACTGGTTGGTTACATGCCATATCATCTCACTGTTGTTTCTTATGCTTAGGTTGTCCTGGCAAGAGAGCAGGCAACAGGGAAAGAATATGCAAGTAAGTAATAACGTATAATGAGTTAGACTAAAATGAAAAAGTTGCTGGGTTTACATCTACTAATATTCTCTTTTCTCTCCTTTAGTTAAGATTTTAGAGAAACGCCATATTGTGAAGGAGAACAAAACCCAGTATGTGAAACGAGAGAGGGATTTGATGTCAAGTCTTGATCACCCGTTCTTTGTCAAACTCTACTTCACATTTCAAGATGATGAGAAGCTGTGTATCCTTTTAACAAATTCAGTCTATCAAGGCCTATTTCCTAACACGTGTTTTACTGTTTTGTTTAAGAAGTTTTCCTTAACCAGTCTGTCTTAGATTTTGGTCTTAGTTATGCTAAGAACGGCGAGCTCCTGAAATACATTCGCAAAATTGGTTCATTTGATGAGACCTGCACTAGATTCTACTCAGCTGAAATAGTTTGTTCTCTAGAATACCTACACAATAAGGGGATAATACACAGGTAAGACAACACCCTTTGTTTTGTCCTTTTTGCAAGTTTTGCTATAAAAATTTCACTTGCTGCTAAGCGTTTGTTTTTGCTCACAATTTTTATTGTTTTAATTTCAGAGATCTGAAACCAGAAAATATTCTTCTGAGTGAAGAGATGCACATTCAGATAACAGATTTTGGAACAGCAAAACAGTTACCATCAGACAGTAAACAAGGTATAATCACAGTGCTGATTTTCTTTATGCTCCTTGTGGCAAAGTATGACCAGCATAAATATAGTCTTAACTGACTTCAAGGGACTGAGCATAAGTTTCAGAAATCTGCTGTTATTAATATCACTGAGTGAATCCAATATATTGACAAAGTTCACTTGTTCATGCTACTAACAGACTTATAGCTAACTTGGGTAACTGCCCCTGCTTTTGCTTTGACTGTAGAAAGCAGTTGACGGTTACACATCAGCTTTGTTCTGTGGTTTGATTATGGCTGAAAGCAATGCAATCTTTGTAGCTGGTGAAGTAACTTGCAAGCTTGTCACCTATGTTAGATTACAATCTTTTTGCACAGTAGAAAAGCATTTAATACATGCTGCATAGAACATGTTTAAGAAAGGAGAACTTGTCTTTTTACCCTTTTGTTTGTTTGTTTGGTTTTTTTTTTGTTTTTTTTTTTGGCAGCGAGAGCAAACTCGTTTGTTGGAACAGCGCAGTATGTGTCTCCAGAGCTACTAACAGAGAAATCAGCCTGCAAGAGGTAATGAGATTTTTATTAGGTTTTTCAGCTCAGCGTGGACATCATTCCTGCAATTTTATAACTGTTTACTTTTTAATTTTTAGCTCTGACCTGTGGGCCTTGGGATGTATTATCTATCAGCTGGTGGCTGGTTTACCACCATTCAGAGCTGGGTAAGAACTACTGTGTTTACAAAACTCAATTTTTCTTAATTGTTTTTTTCAAGTGCAAAAAATCTGAACCAAACACACCAATGTTCACTAGTTACACTTTTTCTTTTCTCTTTAATTGCTGTAGAAATGAGTACCTGATATTCCAGAAAATAATAAAGCTGGAGTATGAATTCCCAGAGAAATTCTTCCCCAAAGCTAAGGATCTTGTTGAACGGCTTTTGGTATGTCATTGCATATCACAATAACACATTTCAACCTCCTTTGGTAATAATTTGGAAATAAGTTAATCAGTTACCTGTTTAGAAGTTGGCTATTTACGTTTTATTTAAATTTCAGTCATTGGACCCAACCAAGCGGCTTGGCTGTGAAGAGATGGGAGGGTACGAACCACTGAAGCAGCACCCCTTCTTTGACACCATCTCCTGGAGTGACCTTCACCTACAGACACCTCCCAAGCTCACACCCTACCTGCCAGCAATGTCTGAAGATGATGAGGACTGCTATGGAAATGTAAGATATTTTACTTTACTATGGTAACAGTCTTGGTATGTTTTTTTTGTTTGTTTTGGTCTGTTGTTTGCTCATTCAAAGAGAGCATCAGGTTTGAGACCTTGTTGAAGCTTAGAGATTCATCCAAACTGTAAACAAGTCATAAATTATCAGCATAACATCAATGCACCTTTCATAACGAGACACTGTCTCTTTATGACTCTCAGTACGATGACCTCCTGAGCCAGTTCAGCAACATGCAGGTGGCCCCGTCCAGCTCATCACACTCCCTGTCGCCACATGACTCGACGCCGCCGCAGAGGTCCAGCAGCAACATTGAGCAGTATATCCACGACCTGGACAACAACTCCTTTGAGCTGGACCTGCAGTTCACTGAAGAAGAGAAGCAGTTATTGCTGGATAAACAGACCACTGGAAACCCCTGGTAACCCCTTCCATCTCTCCATCCCTGTTAAAATGTCTGTGTCATGTGCTGTTCTTTGTTGGATGTATATCAAAACCAATTTTGAATCAATGTCTTTCTTGTATCCTGGAAATATTTTTCACTGCACTGGAAACCATAAGAGATTTTTGGTGAATGATTTAGAAATGTGGATTAACAATTAGTTATGTTACTTTGTTTTTAAAAAATTGTGTAGTTACATTTGCGTTTTTGTGTATCAACACAGGCACCAGTTTGTGGAGAATAACCTAATCCTGAAAATGGGCCCAGTGGATAAACGAAAGGTGTGTGTGTGTGTGTGTGTGTGTGTGTGTGTGTGTGTGTGTGTGTGTGAATTCTACAGCATATATTTGAATCCTTAATATTACTTTATTGCATTGTTTCAGTATTTAAAAAAAGACATCTTTTAGTACTTTACACTATTCTGCCAGCTAGACTCTGTGGAGTTTTCCAGTTTGAGTTGGCTACAGATCAGTGAAGTCACTTCCCTTTGCTTTTCACTGCTGTCAAATGGGAAGTAAAGGGGAATTCCCTGTTGTACTGTGCAAAAGTGTCACTGGCCTCGTAGCCCCCTCTGTTGGTGAAGCAATGAGATGTTTGCATTCCTTTGCAGGGTCTGTTCGCCCGACGGAGACAGCTGCTTCTCACTGAAGGACCACACCTGTACTACGTGGATCCTGTCAACAGGGTCCTGAAGGGGGAGATTCCTTGGTCCTTAGAGTTACGCCCCGAGGCCAAGAACTTCAAAACCTTCTTTGTTCACACGGTACACAATTATTGATTTGTGATGCCTTTTTGACAGATCTTAATATTTTCCTTCAGTTTTATATAAAATAAATTTTAAAAATATGTAAATGTTTTTCCTATGATGTTTGCAGCCTAACCGGACATACTATTTGATGGACCCCAGCGGGAATGCAGACAGATGGTGTAAGAAGATCCAGGAAGTGTGGAGAAAGATCTATCAAAGGCACCAAAACCCTGGCCTATAGGAGCACAGGTTCACCCTGTGCCCACTCCTCTTTAGCTCTGAGGCCAATCACTGAGCAGAGTAACACCCTCTTTAGTGCCCTTCATCACCGCAATGTAAACAAACTCTTAGAGACGCTGGCATCTAGACCTTGTTTGTTTTCCTGAGTAGAACCATGGGAAAAATACAACTTTGGATTTAGGGTTGCTTTGCTTGTTCTTTGTGCTCTCTGTGAGGCTTCTATTGCATTTTTCCATGTATGGATGATAAGACTTCCACCATGCACATCTGCTTTTTGTACATTCTGCGGGGGTGGGCAAGGGGGGGAGGAGGACAAGCTTTGTCTTGTAGAGTGACAAGTTGGGTACCGCTGCGACTATCTCAAACGCAAGGACTGGTTTCCTGCTTCGATGATGACACAAAATCTTGCTTTTGTGGACCAGCGCCTCTCATGATATCTTTATTAAACCATATCCTAATCCTACATTGTATGTGCAAGCTGTAGTCAAGCCCCACTTTTAGTGCATATACTCTATAGATACTGTAAAATGGTTCAGTCTCACACGTTTACCAAACTCAGATCCTCTCTATTTTTGTCAGAACCCAAATATTTCCCTCGGTATTTGAGTTGTTTTTTTTTAGTCTCTCGGTACTTTGCTTATTGCAGTTAAGGTCTCTATATAATAATGCAGAGTGCCGGTCTGCAGTGAGACGTGGGTCTGAACCAGTCTCTGTATAAGTATGAGCCTTCCATAGCCGAGGATGTTTTGCTAACAGGGGGGTGGGTAAACATGCCACTAGCTTGTACTTCCTAATCATAACTTGCTTATCTTTCCTGCATGGCCAGTTTTTGTAGCTCAGCCTTGTCCGCTTCTCTCCTAGGGCACTGGAGATAAAGTTTATTCAAGTAAAGGTGGGTATTTTTGACTGCATTGGAAACCATAGAGACTATTGTTGAATGATTTGGTTGTTCTGTACCATTCACTGGCTATTTCTTTTGTGGTGTGAGTTCTTAATTTTTATTTTTTTTTTCTTTGGTTTTTTTATTTGGTGGAATAGTTCACTCATCTTCAGTATGCCCTATTCAAAACAAAATCTTATGTGCTGACCACCCCATGCTGAACAGAATACCACCATCATCAACAGAGATGCATACACATACTATCATTTTCAGAAGCAATCACAGTAAAGCTGTTGTCCCTGGACAATATGGCAAAACTGCCTCATTGGGCTCATTGGCCTATTTTTAATTTTTTTTTTAATTTTTCTTTTTCATTCTGATGTTTGGCCCAATAGAAATTAAACCGATTGATTTAACTTGTGCTCTTGTTTTAGAAATATGTATTATCATAATGCTTTTAATTTTTTTTGTCATAGTACCTTACGGTCTTTCCAAAGGTCCTCTTCCTTCAGCTGAGTCTGTATGTGCAGTGTGTGACTGGGGACCCTCTGGCCCAGGGCCAGATGTGGTTGGATGTCAGTCAAAGAATATCTATCTCATCCAAATAACCGATGAAATTGCTGTATCTGTCTATAAAGTTGAGGAAGCACGAGAAGTGTTTTCCCCTCTAGTTAGAAAAATTGTTTGAATCAAGTCGATGGCAGTCGGTTACATTGTATGTAGAAGCTCTACCTGGCTTGTAACTGACTAGAACTGTGATGTACAGATGATGTATTATTAAAATCTGAAGCAAGTAATGCAATGATATTAGGATACAGTTTTTGTATTTTTATTCTTGTATAAGGTTATTTGATGGCTATTGTTTAGCCTATAGTTCATTCTGTGTTATTTAAATTCTAATATATGAATCATATTTGGATTGAAGTCATGTTCAGGGGCCATGTTGTGTATGTATTGAGATGTAAAGCCTTTGAATGTGAATAATTATTGTAAACTATAATATTTTACAGCTTTTTTCTTACTATATCATACATTTTCTATTTGCTCAGTGATTTAATCATATTCTGATAATTTAATGAATCTGTTCATTCTCTCTGATTATTTGTGCGCTAGGTCAGTAGATGTTGAATGATGAATTTTCCACTTAATGCTTGGTAGTCCAGTAATTAAAGCATGTAGGGATTTAGGCATACCAATAAAGCCATGTGTCCTGTCTTCTGTCAACAGCCTGGGTCATGACAGTCAAGAAACCGCATCATTCAGTGGCAATGGCATCTCACATTTTGCAGCATGTAAATAAAGTACCGGCTCATTATCACTGTTTTTGTGTCCTGAAAATTACTTTAACGCGCTTTAGTGCTAACTTGACAAGCTTGTGTAAATACTTTAAGTATTCAGTGACAACCATAGGAGTACACGAAATCTAAGATTTATTTTTTCCACCTCAGTTCCAAAGATGTGCATTTTCACTCACAATGATATTTACAGGCTCTCCGTATCAAAAGATTTTGTTCTCCATGCTGACGCGTCAGAGATCAAGCCGGGGAGGGCCTCTTTTCTCTGGAATAATTTATGCAAGTGTCTGTTAGTGCTGGTGGAGTGGGTTAGTAGGAGTGGCTGAACTGAGGAGCTGGCAGTTTGCTTTGCATGAATCGCGGACTCGAAGTTTGTGGCTGCACCTCCGATATTTCCTGTGAGCCGCACAGACAGAGCCGTGCCGAGCCGAGGGCGGAGGAGGCGAGGAGAGGAATGGCAGAGAACAGCTCCGAGACAAGCGGCTCCGTTCACCGGAGATGTTTGGGCCATTCTTCGGCGGAGCGAAACGTTTCAGCTGGGGTCGGGGCTTCAAAATGGATTCGACTAAATGTCGGGGGAACCTATTTTTTAACTACGAGACAGACGCTGTGTCGAGACCCAAAATCATTTCTGTACAGACTGAGCCAAGCTGACCCCGAGCTCGACTCTGACAAGGTAAATGCTAAGCTAGCCGAGCTAGCACTCTAGTTAAGAGCAGTTTCCAAACTTTAAGTTATTTTCTACTGAATATGCTTATATTTACTAGCGTCATTAGGATGATTAATTACAGCATATATCATCTTGTTTATTCGGATCTGCGGCATTGTGAAAATCTGTGTTTATCTAGATACTTGGTGTTAACTCAAATTTTTGTGGCTCGCTAGCATTAGCCAGCTAAGCTAGCTAGATTCCGACAGTCAACCCATGACATACGATCTTGCTGCTAGCTTGCGTGTATCTCTTTGTTGTGTCATTTAGCACAATAAGTTATCAGATAAAGCGGTTACACTGCTATGCTGTTGAAGGTGTGGGACATTGCAGTGGGTTTTTTCTTTTTTAAATATATAGGCTTCGCAGTGAATCTAATAAGTCGCCACAGTAGTTGGAAACTTTTCTCCATATGAGGCCGTTGCATTGCGCTGCACTCAGCGAGGTGTCAGATGTCAAACAGTAACAGTTTACAGCAAGCTTCTTATTTCCTAGTCAGTTTTCAGTACTGAAAACAAATGCTTTTATTGTGGTTGTATATAAATTAGTGTAACTACAGGAGTAAGTTTTAAGTTTGATTGGCTGTAGTCTAATGTTCATATAATATTCGAAATTTATTTTAATGATATATTGACGTGTTTTGAATGTCCCATTTCTGTCTGTGTCCCATTTCTAGCCTTTCAGTGATTGTAAAACTACTGTTGTATTTTTTCTTTTCTTTTTCCTCTCCGTCTCTTGAGGTTTATCTGCTTCACAGCTTTGTTTGCTCTGCAGTAGTCTGCTTCTGTACACTTGGTGAAGCTCCCCTAATTAGTATATAAGTCATTGTCAGGTGGGGTGCAGTGCTGCTGACAACTGGGATGAAGTCACTTATCTCCCTGAATGACCCCAGTGCTCCAGAAGGCGGCTGTTGGTCCATCTGCCCACTTATAACAGTAGTGCATGTGTGTTTAAAGGCTCCCCGGCACTGTCAACCACAATGTATTACTGTCCACATACATAGTGTATTGTGCTCTATTTTACAGCTCCATTGTTCACTGTTTTCATCCACTGGAACACTTTTAGCTTTGCCCCTGCCCCCCTTTATGCTAAGCTGAGACAATGGCTCATCTCGTATTTTCATGCAAATATCTTAATCTCTGAATAATCAGCTTGCTTTTTTGGTCTCTATCCTTCATGAGCAACAAATCAGTCTGTCTCAAGCCCTTGTCTTAAGTGTGTATCGCACTCTTGAGCGATCTCTGGACCTCACTCCTTGCAGACTATCTAGTTTAAGGTAACTCCCACTGCAGGGCAGATTATACCTAGGTATTACTTCACTTGGCACCGCCAACTAATTTACAAGTGACCCAGAAAAGGGGTGTGCGGCTATAGATATAGATATATAGAGATATAGATATATATATATATATATATATAGATCGATATAGCTCGGCAAAGCGACAGAGCAGTGAAGAGCTCTGTTTTTGGACGAATGCAGTGTTGTTTCTCCCAGCCAAGGAAATGAGTGGTTCAGTTCTCAGTCACGCAGGCTGACGTGCTTCAGCAGGACTCTTGAGGAGAACTGCATTATTCATGTTGTTGACTGTAGCTTGTTTTGCACAGTGGGGTGGACCAGGGAGAAAGTGAAGGAAGTACTGTCATGTGTACAGCCACAACAGCTGACAATCACGCATTTCTAAATCTTGTTTTATGTAATTTTAGTCCTAGCTGTCATGCTGGAGTGATGTAGATATTAGGTTGTTTGATTTGCTGCTCAGTCATGAGCGGGCATGTAAAAATTGTCCAGTCAACAAGCTGAGTGATGCACTTTAGTGGGCAACTGTCTCACTGGCAAACTTCTTTTAATCTGCTCTGAACCTCTTGAGTAAGGGCCCAGCTTTGAGTACCACATCAATTTTTCAAGCCACCCATCACAAAGGATTCTTGTTCTTTCAGTGTCTTATTCTTTTCATATTCATATCCATTTGCAGCCTTAAGAAATTCTCCCTGCAGCATGTGAGAGAGAAAAATATGGCTGGATTCAGGTTGTGTGTCATGCCTGAGCACACTGTGGGAGACGATGTAAATATTTAACGGCGAGATATCGTCTGCTCCCGCACTGTCTTCTTGCAGTAAGTGCTCAGCAGGAAGCTGCAGAGTGCTATTGACAATTTCAGGTGTGACTCCAGTCGGATTTCATCGCCTTCACTGAAGTAATGCACGTAATCCGGGAACTCGCCATTACTTTTTGCATTGTACTGCAGAGGGTTTAAAGATTCTGTAACAAAATCGGTCAGCATGGTCAGTTTTTCACTTCTTCTTCAGTTATGATGCACCTTTCATGGTTGTCTATTCGGGAGGGGGGAAAAAGTCCACATCGCAGTGATTTCCTAGTTTTCCTAGCGTGCCCTGGACCAGCAAAGCTTTTAGTGGCCTAAAAGGAGCTTTTCATTTAATGCCAGAAGCACTCCTCAGTCATAAGTTGGTTCTGCCTTTCAGATTTGAAGATGGTAAAAAGGTGTGAAATTTCTCCTATGCTTAGCAAAGGGTTATTACTCGTGTTCAGATTATCAGCATCAAATAATGTGAAATATGAGATGGTTTCGCATAATATAGCCGTGATGCGAAGCGTGTATTATTTAAAAGACGAAGGCCTATTTGACTATGCCATTACTGCTTGTACTCCAGAGGGATTCCTGACTCCTACTTTACAAGGATCAGACTTCCACTTGGCTAAGTAGCTATGGTCATGTGACTTGGGTATCTGCTGCAACATATTTGAGCTCTGTTTCTGCCAGGCGTTTGTACTCTAATTCAGGCAGAGATGTCTTTACATTCCCTCAGAATTGCCTGACCACCTGCGCTGCTTCTTCCTGTCCAACATGTATTCTTGGAATCTGTGACAGCCCATAGAACAGTATAGTAAAATTTATCCACTCATTATTTGGAAAAAAAAAATTAAATCACACAGAGCTGAAGCAACCTATGGTGATTTATATGGAGGGGGGGGGGAGTCTTGCTTTTTTTACCCCAAGCTCCAGGGTCTATTCAAAAAAACAAAACATAAAAACAACCTAAATGTCATTTTTAATTTTTTAAATCCATCAGAGCAAATTAACACTGGTGGCAAAATAAGGCGGCATCATAGTAACGACCCTGTCTAACAAAATCAGACTTGGTCCTTTTATTCATGACTCTTTTGTTTTTAACTTTGCAACAGTTCATTAGGAAAAAATTGTCATCTGGCCAGTGGGGGCCCTGCAATACACATGAACACATTTTTACTATGAGTGTTTACATTTGTGCTTTTTAAGGTGATCAGATCAATGGATGTGGTGCCTGCACACTGTTTGCAGCTCTATTTATTTATTTTTATGTCTGCAATATAAAGTGGCTCAGGTGAAGGTGGAAATTGCTTTCACCCCCCCCCCCCTATGTGTTTGCTCGTTCCTGTTCACTAGCATAAGTCTGTATGAAATTTACCGCTATGTATAATATGCGCTGCTGTTCCTCAAGTGATGATGCATTGTTTTCACACACACCTAATTTTTTTTCTCAGAAGCAAACGTGCAGCGACTTGTAATTTTTATTTATTTATTTATTTTTCAGTTGAATGAAGGATTGATTTTCAGTGTTAATGTGTCTGCAGAAAACCTTATTTGGCATCATGTGTACGAAGGGTTGGGTCACTGTGGTATTTCCTGTTGAAGGATATGTACTGTGTGTAGAAAGAATGATACGGTTCATACAATACACTTCCCTCTTCTGTGAAGCCCGCCCTTCTAATTGACTTTTGTTTACCTAAATTGTTTACTTGTCTGAGGTCATTGTCAGACCAAAAATAATAATGAAAAAAAAAGTATTCGGTTTCAATATTTCTTAAATGTGGTTTAATTGGTTCCTTATTGGTCTTGCATTTTCATTTAATTGAAGAAACATCAAGAATGTATAATTGAGGTTTGACTTTTTCATTCTGCAATTTCAGCGTCTTTTTCAACTTTCTTCTTGATTTCTCATTTCTGCCCGTCTGTGTGCATCCTAGCAGCAGCCGTCCTCTGTTTCACTCACTGTCCACACCCCTTTGTTTGTTGCCCAGTGCTCCTCAGCCTGGGCCCCCGGAGACAGTCTTTTGTTTTTAATTAAAAACACGCTCCTCTTTGTGCACACAGGCTCATATCAGAACCCCCTTAACCATACGAAGCGGGTCACTGTGACCACCCCCAATCTCCCCATAAATGTATGCATACCCACAGGGCCAACCCCACAGAGCTCAGGGGTTTCATGTGGCCTCATAGTGGAGCTTACAAATATGCAGCAAGTTTACAGAAGTGTATG